ATACTATATTTTGAAGGTGACTTTGACAGGATTTAGTAATGGATTGAACATGGGAAATGAGGAAAAGAATCAGTCAGTTGATTGATTGAAATCACTTCTGTAGTATTTCAGAGGATTATCCAATGCTTAATGTGGTCAAAATAGAATTCAACTTCCCCTCACCTTCTTTGTCCAAACCCACTCCCCCTCCACAGTTTTTATCATATTAGGCAGAACTCTTAAAGACATTGGCATAGGAAAAGACTTTATGAACAAATCCTTAAGTAGCATGGGAGCTAGCACCAAGAAACAACAACTGGGATCTCCTCTTATTAAAAAGCTTCTGCACTGGAAAAGAAACTATTAACAGAACTAAGAGACAATCTACAATGTGGGAAAAAAAAATTACCAGCTGCTCCTCCGACAAAGGACTATCATCTAGAATATATAAAGAACTCAAAACAATCAATCACCCCCCCTCCCAAATATAAAGACCCAATTCAAAAATGGGCATCTGAAATGAGCAGACATTTCTCAGACAAAGAAGTAAAAGCATCAAGTAAATATATGAAGAAATGTTCCACATCAGTGTTCATTCAAGAGAGGCAGATGAAAACAACACTGAAACTCCACCTAACCCCACAAAGAATGGCTGTTATCAAGAAATCAACCAATAGCAAATGTTGGCTGCATTGTGGGGATAAAGGAGCCCTTCTCCATTGTTGGTGTAAGTGCAGACTGGTGCAACCACGGTGGAAATCAATATGGAGATACCTCAAAGAACTGGGATTAGAGGTTCCATTTGACCCAGCCATCTTTGATTACACATGTTGATCTTTTTTTACACCTCTAGTTTTTCACACCTATTTGGGATTTACATGTGTAGCATTTTCATTTGTAATATCCTCTTTAAAGTCATGACCTAACTTTCTTCCCCTAGGCCCCATCTCCTAAAGGTTTTTCTACCTCCCAACACTCCAAAACCTGGAAATCAACCCTTTGTCCTATCAGCCACTGAGTGACACATATCCAAACAACATCAGTAAAGTTTTTTTATTATCATATACAGATCTCATGGAATTATAATTAAAATTGAATGAAATTATGCCTATAAAATATTTATCACAATAGAGGGAATACACCAATTTTTTTCTAATGACCTCTACTCTTGCTGCTATTGTTACTGCTAATAGTGCTGTATCACATAGTATACTCCTAAATGATACTCATCATTAAAAATGAAAATGCTACATACACACAAACCTGTGGAATATGTGAAAGAATTATATTCTTTTATCATAAATTCTGAATTAGCTCACTGACAATAAGTATATAACTTTTATGAAGACAAATACATAAGCTTAATTTTTGTCAAATTAGAACTGAAAAACCTCTCTTATGCATGTTCTATCACATTGATTTTTTTGTTGTTGTTGTTCCCTCAATTGTCTTATGCTTTAATACTTGGCCATACACTGAAAGGGAACAAAGAGGCTCAAAAACTAGGCCATGCACACTGAGAGGTCCAACTGGAGACTTTATTCCAGGAGTGGGAGCAGAGAGAGAGAGAGAGACGAAGAAAAAGAAGAGAAAGAAAGGAGAGAGAGAGACAGAGAGAGAGAGAGAACAAAGAAAGGAAGATCCTTTTATTGGTTTTAGGCTGGCTTATTGTTTATTTATGAAGAGTGAGCTACTTTTAACCTAGACCAGGTTGCCTTTTATGGGTTCAGTCCTGCAGAAACAGGTTTAACTTCTCTGGAATGCTGTGGCCTTCAGCGGGAGGAAAACTAAAGTAAGGGCATGAAGTCATTTTAGAACCAAGAAGCACTAGGAAAATGCAGCCTGTGATGGCGGCATCAGGTTCCTAACGTACACTATTCAATGACTGACTGTTTTTACCAAAGCAGAACTGGCCAGATTTATCTGCTAATATTGTAGAAGCAGTGGGAACAGAGAGAAAGAACACTATGAACCATTGTAAGCCATGTAAATGCATAAGAAAGGAGGCAATGGGAAAGGGGAGAATTTGACTTCCTCTACTCAGGACTGGTTTTCCCATTCCAAGCCAATTAGTTATTATTGGCTTTCTTCTTTACTGGGAAATGAATGTGAATTGAAAAAAAAAAATCAAAATCCCTTGAGGAGTGAAACTCTGATTTTATATGCAAAGAAAGGAAAACAGGAAAAGGGTAAGTCCCCATGAGGCATTTTATTTACCAACCACAGCAATAAACTTCAAGTTTCAAACTTATCAACATTATTCATTTTGAGGAAAAGTTCCACAATAATCTGAAGTTAGAGAGATGTGGAAATGTCTTAAAGATTGTGACCTTGATGAGGGAAAAAATAAATGTAGGGAGGAAGAGAAACTTTGCACCTAAAACAGCTATTGCCATAAATGAAATTATGATAAGAACTACTACAGGAAACCTTTACTGGATATAATGGTTATACTTGTGCTCTGCCTCTCTGCATAATCAAATGTTCACTTAACTTTTCTGGTCACTTGTGTTCACATCAACCATGACTACTGTTGTGCAAATATCTCAATTATACCAGCTGGATCTTGGATTTACTTTCATGATTGGAGTGTCTTCTTGGGTTCATAATTTATTAAACTCTAAGTAGAATTTGAAAAAAAAAAAAAACTAAACTTATACCAATAAGCTTCTTTGATGTTAAAGATTTTTTAAGGGCTCTAATTAGAAAATGTACTTTATATCTCAAATTTTCCTGTTCTCTTTGAGGACAACTAGGAGTTCTCAAAGAAGATTTACATTGGGGAGGTGTTGATTTTGGCTCTTGGGAATCTATAACCTGTTTTTGGAAATTCTTGTCCCAGTTCCTACTGAGTCACCACCCTCTCTTTGACAGTCACTCTGCCTGGAATGTACTTACCTGCACTCCTAATTTGAGAGGTACAAGATGTAACTTAGTCCTAAATCAAATTGCCCTGCCCAGGTTGTTTAGCTGAGGCATACTCAGATTCCTAAATCTACTGCAGTCATCTGTTCACAAAATGGAGCAGGAGAAAGTATTTCTAGAAAGAGGAGTCAAGGTGGAAAAGTCAGCTTGTAGAATATAGGGAAATGAGAAACAAATCCGAAGATTGTCTTTATATTGTCTAACAGGTAAAAGTCTCAGGATTGATTCTGCTGCCTCTACCTGTATCTTTGTTTTCAAGAATCATGTTAAACATTCCCTTTCTTCTTTCAGGAGTATTACAAATGTAACCCCTTGAGAGGTTAATGTGCTATGGAAGGAATCAGCAAGTGACACAGAGAGGCAGCAGAATGGAAGTAAAATTAAAAAGTTTACTCCATTGATGGGGATCAATGACAACTATTGGCAGTGCCCTGATTGACTCCTCCACTGGGTTACAACTCCTTCGTTAAACATTCCCTTTCTTCTTTCAGGAGTATTACAAATGTAACCCCTTGAGAGGTTAATGTGCTATGGAAGGAATCAGCAAGTGACACAGAGAGGCAGCAGAATGGAAGTAAAATTAAAAAGTTTACTCCATTGATGGGGATCAATGACAACTATTGGCAGTGCCCTGATTGACTCCTCCACTGGGTTACAACTCCTTCTTTTATAGGGCTTTACAGCCTTGATCTTAGTCAGTTGGTTACATTGCATTTTCACAGTTCACATTGCTGATACAAAACATGACTTCTGAATGGAAGTAAAATTAAAAAGTTTACTCCATTGATGGGGATCAATGACAACTATTGGCAGTGCCCTGATTGACTCCTCCACTGGGTTACAACTCCTTCTTTTATAGGGCTTTACAGCCTTGATCTTAGTCAGTTGGTTACATTGCATTTTCACAGTTCACATTGCTGATACCCAAAACATGACTTCAATTGGATGCCATTCTTTGTTAGGGAAAGTTACTTTTAGAGTTATGTATTCTAGCCAAGTGGAAGGGAGCATTTTTTGGTCAACAAAGCTAACAATGGTTCTTTTCATTTACAAAACTTTTTAGGGAGACTAGATGCTGCAGGTGCCTGCTAATTCTGAACTAAACAGAGCAAAGGGCAAAGTTATCTTACGTTGTGACATTTCCTAGGTGTTTGCTATTAAAGTTTTCCCTATCAAATGTGGTATACCACATCATTTTATTTCCTTCTTCCAAAACTTTTAAAGGAACTTCTATGTAGCATGATTTTTTTCTGGTCTGTTTTTCCTGCTCTACAGAGATGTTGTTTATTTTGTGCTGTATGTTCATTACCTTGCACATATTGTAGAAACTTAATTGTAGATACAAGACATATTTACTGGATCAATAAAAAATGACTGGAAATAACTATGAAAAAGGAAAGTCTTTTAAAATTAATATTTGAAAAATTAGACACTCAAAAACAGTATTACAAAGTCAAGCATATCTCTCAGATCTAGATTCACCAGCGATAATACCATTGCCAACTCATCCAACTCTGATCTGTTCCCTTTTGCCAAATTGTCCAAATTTCACATTTTCTTCAAGTGCTCAGGAAAAGTGAACTGCTAATTCAAGAATAATTTATTAGAGGAAAAATGAAAAAATCAAGAAAGCAGCTCTAGCAATTTTATTCTTAACCATGGCATTGTAATTGAAAGAAAATGGAGCCTGCCAAAGATCACTGGGCACATGGACATGGCTCATAAGAGAGCTCTTAATTGGAAAGCCACACCCAAGGGGCAAAAATGGAACAAAGGAAAGAGAGAGGGAGGGAGAAGGAGCTTGTTTATATAGTGGGTGAAGAGTGCAGGTGGGTTGGGAATTGTGTTGGCCTCATGGGCAGCCATTTGGGGGCCACTCTTGAACATTCATTCCTTATAGGGACAAGCCTTGTTCACATGCCAGTTTTGTTTGATTTATGACCTGTAACACATGAGGTAGGGAATGGAAACTTTAATGTGAAGAAGGAAGTTATTTATCAGAATGGCAACAGCCATTCCAAGGCACTTATCTTACATTCCTCCCTTTTTGTTTTTTTATGGTCTCAGGAACAGGGGTAAAGAATCTCTGTCTGTACCTATTTCCTGCTGAAGCGGCAGGTGTGGGGTGATGAGAAGCCAAGGGAGGGATCTCTAGTCTGTCATCTCTTATCCTTGCCAGGGTGACATAGCTGTTGGAGGGCCACTTGTTTAGGAGCTTCAAGGAGGGCAGTGATGGCAAGACTGTGGAGTGGTGGGGGCTGATCTAGGCATGTATAGTAGCTTGAGGGGCAGCACAACCATGGAGAGGGGGGCCTGAAATGGCAAAGAAAGAATTGAGTTAGACATATCCTGAAAGTATCATAAATAGATAGACAGATATAGATATAGATATAGATATTGATATTGATATAGATATATGAATAGCAGGTGGAGGGGGCCTTCCCTGGCAATAATAAAAAAATAATAGTACCTCCAAGGAGTTAAATGCATTTTTTTTTAATTGGGAAGCATGTGTGACTGGGAAGGTGACTGGATGGCAGAACAGATGGGCTAAAAATCTAGTGTGGAAGTTGGGTGGGAACCAGGCATGATTTAAATCTCCCAGGTGCTAATTGAGAACCACAAACTCTTTTTTGTGGGAACTGCAGTATCCTGAGAGTAGAACTAAATTGCCTTGTCTCTGCTATGATGAATCTAAGGAGGAGCTCATATATTTAGCACAGAAAGTGCAATCTTTGGGTGAGTATGACAAGCCACAGATCAGGTCATTTTTGAGTAGGAAACAGGTACTGTTGTGAGATGTATAAAAAGAACTGTGTGTCCCACATTTGGGATTGGGAGAGTTTTGGGCCACTGGGAGATTTTAGTCAGATGGCTCAACTCATAGTTGTAGGGATGGGAGTGTAAGCCAGCAGATAAGGAGAGGGATATAGAAGGCAATTTTTTTAAACTAAAATTTTGGTGGATCCCAGGTAAAATGTTCTGTCAACCAATCTAAGATCCCATCCACTGATCTTTTGTGAGGGTAGAACCAATGGAGGTCTTGTTGTAGTTGAGTTATGAAGTGAAGAAATCACAGCTGGATATGGATCTATGTCATGGGGCTTTCTCTAGAAGGCAGGCTGGCGCAGTGGTCACTTCCTGTAAGATAAGGGGATTGACCATCTGACTAGAAATTTTTGGATTTGATTTTGGAGGAATTGGAGTAATCAGGGGGTGACAATGGCTAGAATGAGGATGCAAACAAGCAATGGGAGGATCTATGGCAGAATACTCTGAAACAGGGAGTATGATTGCTGACATTTTAATTGTCCCCCCCCCAGAAGTCTTGAATTTTAGAGGTGATATAGTTAACAAAATAACACTCTTTACTTAGAGCCTGACATGTTCTCCCTTGGGCTGCTGTTAGCATGTCGAGGACATATCTGTTTTGGAGCAGGACAACTGCTAGGGAATTAATCTGGTCCTGGACTGTGTTTAGGAATTAGCTTATTTTGTCCATGTTTTTTAAGATATCTACTGAAAATGCCAGTGAGGACACTCACTTCCATCAAGAAGGGGTCCTGGAAAGGTGCCAGGAAGTGGGCTACTCTTGTTGACCTTCGACTGTGGGAGGATCCTTTTAAACATCTGGGATTCTGTATAGATGGTCAAGGTGGGGTTAAGAAATGCTATGTAACAGAAAATTTTAGATCAGTTGAGGCATTGGAATATGAAGTATATGCACATGAAGTACATGCATATGAAGTACATGCCTTTGGATAGAAAGACAGGGTGCTCTTCTGAGATAAAGAGGGAGTAAGTAAGGCAAGTGATTTTGTCCTTTTACCCTGTGCATGTCAGGTTAGTGGTTTGTGTAGGGAATGGGAGACCCATAGTGAAGTGTCCCAGAACAGTGGATAAATTGCCAGTATTCAAGACAGACAAGTTAAAGTCTAGGGGGATGGGAATTGGAGTGAATGAATGGGGGTAAACATACATAAACATCTAACAGTCTGAGATATTTACAGGGAGATAGGGCATTAAATAGGTATTGTAGCCTTTTTTAGACTGGGTTATCTGGTTTATCACTTGAAGACAAATCCCGTTATAGGGAGGTGGAGCAATGGGCCTCAAAAGTCTATCACGAGTGCCTGTTTATTGACTGCCTCTTTTGGTTATTCTTTTCTGCTGGGTGTTTAAGAGCAAGTTAAAGTGAGACCTGTGTTAATCAATATGAACCTCTTGCTATCCATCAAGGTCAGTTAAGTCTCTTTAGGCATTATTTTGGAATCATGCATAGAACCTCTCAGCTTCTCTGTCAGTGTCAGCTATTAGGATGCATCATGGCCTTGCTTGACCATGGTGCTTTTAGTGAAAGCATGAGAGATTTTTTTTGGTGTTCATTCTTCAGCACATGTTACATTTGTCCTCTGGTGTCTAGCAATCTCTCTGTTCAGAAGGTTGGGTGACTTACCAAAGATATAAGATGTTGTGCAAAAGGTTCCTTCATAGCTTGGATCTCTGATGAACTTGGAGTTCCAGGGACAAAATATGGGTGGTCTTTTAGCCAAGTTACCTTTTAGTGTTGGTCTTTGCCCTTTGGTGGTTGAACAACCAGGAGAGAAGATCAGTGACCCCAGTAGTACAGTAGGAGCTTAACTATCATAACTTTATCTGAATAGCAAGCACCCTGGAATTTAAAATATAGCTAGAGGGCTATTATTTTTATCAATCATAGTTGTTCTAATAGTTGATTTCCTGTAGAATATTAACAGAAAAAAATTGTAATCAGGAGCCACACATAATAAAAATATTTTAGCATGACAATCACGATGACATTATCTCTGTAACAAACCTAGCTATGTATCTTAGTACAAAATAGCCATTGTTAAATGTATTCATTTTTCTATAAAATATATAAAAACAAAAACAAAAAACCCAGGAAACTTATTTAAGTTACCACCTTTTGATAGGATGCCATCTAAGTAAAGTGTATGGGCCTACAAATGTACCTGTAATCATGAGTAGGTGGAGCAGAAGAGAAGGGTGAATACCTGGATCGAAAGGTTATTGCCATAAACAATATGTTGGAAGAGCTGCATGGTCAGACTTCATACAGAAAACACCAGAAAAGTACAACAGAAAAGTAGCAATAATAATTATTATAATTATATGAAATCTTATGTCCTATAATGCAGCTTGGTACCAAAGGGATTTTTTTAACAACTCCTTGTTTTTTCACAGAAAATATTATACTTTGAAGGTGACCATTATAAACATATCATAATAAGATATTTAGAACTCAAACTTTGATGATAACCAATGTAAATATTTTATAACAACATATTTGATGGGGCATATCTTTTTATAAGGCCATGACAATTATTGGGGCTCCCATGAGTCAACAAAGACCAGAATAAATTTTTTCTGAGCAGCTGCTTCTTTATTTACCAAGAGGAGTGTACCCAAACCTAAAATTTTGTATTTAATTACCTTGACAATTTTTTTATTTAACCTGTAAAACCAGGTTATAGAAATCAACAATCTATCAATATACTTGATGTCATTTTGACCAAAAATTCAACTGGACAAACACCTTTAAACATTTAGACACAGACAAACATATGAGACAATTTACGAAACTAGAGTGCACTCAAATGTACTTGGCCAATTGAATTATAAAATCTCCATTAGTTACAACTAGTCAAAACTTTTGCAGGTCAAAATTAACAGAGATCTCTTGTAGAATTAGAATCAAAAGGAATGAAATCTCTTTATGACTGTAAATGTAAACCTTTTATAAGAAACTTGAAACCAACAAGCAAACATACATATTTTTTGTTAAACCATACAAAAGCCTTTTGTGTCAAAAGCATATCTCTTATTTAAAGCCTTTTAAATATTTTTTCTGTCCCATTTATTATTAACCTTTTAAAACAAACTTCAGTTGTTAAAATCTTAAAGTGTCCTCTTTTTTTTTCCTAGCAAAACTTTTGTAGGTCAATTAATAGAGATCTCTTGCAATTAGGATAAGGAGTAAAAGTGCTTTATAACAATAGCATAATCTTGTGTTATAGTCATTGTCAGAAGTCTGTAAGCAGAAAGTAGAGAGAAGGTCAAGCTAATCTACAATTACAATTTAATAATTTGCAATGTAAAATAAATGTTTGAAACACATCAATTAAATATCTAGAAACCAAACAGCATCAACAATTATTTTAAGTTGAACACAAAAGGTACATTTGTCAATTAATTAGAGGAGGGAATGATAACAAAGTTTTTGCCTTGGGTTGGATGTAGTGTCAAGAAGAGAGATTATTTATGGTGTATGATGAGGCTGACAGGAAGTACAGAGGGGAGGCTTAGATCTTAAATAGGAGATCCCACTTTGTCCATATGCTCACAAAAGTTATAAAGATCTCAGAAAAGTGAGGGATCAAAAGTCATTAGGTGGCCATTTATTTTGGTTATCTAACAAGTATTGAGGCCAAATTTGGGTAGCAGACCTAAGTCCGAGAGCCATGAGGCAGTCCAGAGGGGAGTCTGCTGGAATGGATTGTTCCATTCCCATGATGGAGAAAGGAGACTTCTGTTGCCACTCTTTGAGGTGTCCTGGAGTGAGGGACAGAAAGCTGTGGGAGTAGAAGTGCCACTTGGGAGGGTCATCACCATTCAGAAATGGAATGCCAGGCCACAGTTGGCTGGAAGACTTGGGACTTGAGTTTAGAAATTTTCAGTCAGAGGCCACAGTTGATCGGGAACAAGCCAAGTCTCATAGAGGGGGAAGAGAGGCCAGTGCCTCAGGGGTCTCCACCACTGGGGTTGAAACCCAGACTGACAAACCTGAGATAAAAAGGCTGGTTAATTATCTATTGATAATTATCTATTATCTATTGATGAGGCCAGTGGTGGGCATGGAGATACATTTGGGCAAATGGACATGAGTTATTGGGTGGGAGGATGGGGTGCTAAGGCTTGGGGTCCCTCAGCATTAAAGCTGAGCACCGGGTAGCACACAATCTGAATCACAGCACCAATGAAAGAAACCGGCACCTGCCAAGGATCACTCCACACACTGACAGAGCTCATATGAGAGATCTTCATTGGTAAGCCAAGGCAGGACAGTGGCCCACTGGGCCAAAAGGGAACAAAAGAGAAAGAGAGGGAGCGGGGTGAGGGGCTTGGTTATATTGTGGGTGAAGAATGCAGGTGGGTTGGGGATTGTGTCTGCTGCAGGGGCAGCCACTCAGGGGCCACTCTTGGACATTCATTTCTTATATGAGCAAGCCTTGTTCGTATGTCAGTTTTGTTTTATGTATGATCCATGACGCATGAGGTAGGGATGGAAACTTTAAGATGAAGAAGGAAGTTATTTATCAGAATGCCGCCAGCTATTCCAAGGCACTTATCTTACAGTAATAATAATTGATATCATTATTGTTGCCTTTATTCTAGTAGGAAATTATTGTGATCCTGAGATGAACAGATCACGTTAAATGATTTTTTAAAAATTGGAAAAAATCACCTTGTTCTTTCTACCTGTATGGCTTTTTGAATAAATTGTAATAATGAGTAAAAACAAATACAAGGCTCTGTCTTTATTAGATAATTAAGTTGAGTGATGAAAGAATTATCTGAAAGGATCTTATTGCTGGATTATTAATGTTCATCTTTATTAATTTTGTCCTGTATTTAGATTGAAGATATTGTAAATCAGAAGATCATTTATCAAGTGCTCTATGGTACTTGGTAAATATGTTGCCCCCTACCCTTTATAATCACATGATGAGAAGCAGAACAGTAAAAATAGCTGGATACTTCATAGGTGAGTGGATGCAAAACAATCGTCTTTCTTTCCTGACAGGGAAAAAGGCAGCTGATCTCCTGACCTCCTAAAAGAATCTCCTCCAAATTCCAGCCCTTCAGTGTACAAATAAAATGTCTTACAATAATCCTGATAGGCTTATGTCTCAAATGTATTAGCCCAAGACATATCTCTAAATTCCAGGCTACATCCCTTTTGACATGTAGATTACCTAGAAGGACAGCCAGTCTAGTCGACAGCTTTAACAATTTGGTCCTCTCTACCAAATAAATAAGCTATATTTTTCTTTCAGATCAGAATAATAAGCAAAGATTTCATATCTAATTCTGATATGAAATGAAGAGTCTCGTGAGGATAGGGTTTTACACAAGCACTGAGAAGTCAAGAAATGTTTTATTTCCTTACATGCATTTAAGTAAAGGAAGACTTTTTTCTTTAAAATGACACATTTTTATAAGCATGACTTTTTGTTTAAAATTGAATAATAAACACAGGTATATGTGCTTATATTTTTTTCTTTCAAATAAATCTTTTGATCTATATAAAATAAATTTATGTATAAAGTTGTGACTTGTTTGAGGACAATAGTAGATTATTCACTCTAAAATTAAAAGCCATAAAAGGCATAAAGTATAACACAATTATATAATGTTTGGTTCATCAAGTGTGATCAATTTTAATAATAATAAAATACTGGTTGAGATCTTTACCTGTTACAGATTACTTTTCCCACTGTATTGAAAGAAAGAAAAAAGTTCAGTTTTGATTCTTAATTAATCTGTTCAGTCATAATGCGTTTGTGTGGAATGGCATGTCAGTTTAGTAAATGTTCTTACAGAATTACTGTAGTATTTAAATGCAGATTCCGGTCAATTTTATATATAATCTATCTTTTACAAGAGATAGTTATCAGGTAAAAAAAAACATATAGAAGTGCTAAAAGTATCTTAACACTAAATTATATAAAATATCATGCATTAAAATCTGATAGCAAATATTTTCCTTTTCTACCTACTTTATTTCCAAATTGTCCCTTTTTAATATTTCCAAATTATTAGTTTGATGACACTAAATAAACAACTATTTAGTGCTTTGATTCTGGCCTTATCTCAGAGGTCACTGAATCAGTTTTACTGAAAAATAGTTACAATTTAAATCATATTCAAGTTTTCTCCAACATAAATGTTTCTGATCTATATCACTCTATCTTTGAATAGTCTATTTTTTTTCCTTTTAAAGAGAACCAATAGCTCATGTGTCTATTTTTGGTCCTTAAAACATTAGTGATAATATATTAATAATATGATTGGTTTATTGCCCTTTTGTGCAATTCAGGCATTGGGAAAGTCTTCTTATCAAACACCTCCTTGGCATCCTACCATGTATAAAATGTCCTATCGAAGAACTAGTTAGGCTTCTTTATTTATGTAAATAAAGGATTAGACATAGCATCTTTTTATAGATTATGTGAAGATTATCCTTGATTGGTTATATGAACAAGATCAGATTTAAATGGAGTATTAAAAATAGCAACTTTCTGATAAATCAAAAATAGCATTTTTCTTATTGGTTCTGTGTACAGTGACTATTGTTTCACTCTGGCTGTGTTAGGAATGTTCCTTTCCTGTGAGTGTTCTTACCCTGTTGCCCTGTTTTCCACATTTATTATGATCTTACAATATATGATTTCTGCAAAGTGAATATGTAAGAAGAGCAAGGAAATTTTAGACAAATATTTTAAAACAATGAAAGTTCTGAAGTGTA